TTTTTTTTTTAATCTTAAACAACTGAGTTCTGTAGCAGCTAGGTTCAACCCCAAGGGAAGTTCTTGTAATTATCCCATAACGAAATTGGTATGGAGAAGCTTGGCAAAGCAAATTTATTTTGTTCTCACTGAAGCACTTAATTAATTTTCTCTCAAATCATATAGAAAATATTTTCCAAGTATTGCGTACATGGTACAAATAGTTTTCAAAACCTGATGATCTTGTCTTTTGTCCATGCACAGCTCATCTGCTGACTGCTTACAGTTTCTGATAAACTTGTGGTTTTGACTTGCAGGGTGTCGAGAGAGTTCTATTTGAACACTGCAGAATTCATTGATGCTGTGGCGTTTAATCTCGAGTCAAAGCTTCGTTCTCCAGCTTTTGTTTGAAAATCTCTGCCCTACCTTCAGTTTGACTTGTGGGGATTGTACAGCATCCACATTTTTGTAGGAGAAAAACTAAAAAGAAAAATAAAAAGACAATAAATATGGGTTACATTCAACGCTTTCTTAAACCTAGCTGTTATGAATGCTCAGGACATGTTGGATTTTGTGTTTGGATATGCAAGGAACCAGTCATTTCAAACTAGTGTTCTTTCATATATTTCCCTTTCCATCTTTCGAATTTTTTTGCAAAACTGCGAACACTACCATTATTTTGTAGTCTATTTCAAAGGATATCTAGCTATGGTCTAAGGCCGCGTTTTGATTAATTTGACGGTGTGATTGCGGCCCGGACAAATTGTGCTTTATTCATTAGTGTGATAACTGAAAACTACCCCCAAGGTGATTGGATTTATCTTAATGTGTGTAATGTCTGTTTTGTCCTTTACTTATACGATTCTAGCGACTTTAACCCAATCGCTAGTTAATTACTCGTGGGAAATTTACATATATAGGCCTCCTATAATAAATATTTACATATGTACGTTCAATACAAACTTTCATCACATTGGCATTTTCATGTAATCTTTTTTTCATATCTACGATTCTTCTCATAATTTTATCTCTCTCCATATTAAACATGCATTAATTCAGGGATATGAGATTTCCCATCTGCTCATAATTTTCTCTCTCTCCATATTAAACTTGCATTAATTTTGGGATATGAGATTTCTCACTGATTCATAATTTTTTATCTCCATATTAAACATGTATTAATTTAGGGCTAAATAATCGCAAGCAAAAATAAAATTTGAAAAACAATAAAAAATCTGATTTCAAAATTTCAACAATTAATCGACATCTTTATTTTTCGAAAAAAAAAATCGTCCAACCGCCAAATATATGTTTAGATATACAATATATATACAATATATAAACATGATCAGACAGTACTATAATATTTAAACATGTAAACAATATGTAAATTAACCGTATAGTTATACATAAAATAAACAACATGTAAACAACACTACGGGATAAAACATAATACACAATTCTAAAATGACTCCAAGTACATGTTCAGATATATTGCATATATACATCAGATAAACATGATATGACAGTTCCCTAATATTAACCGTATATTTATACATAAGATAAACAATATATAAACATTTGTGAAGTGGAATTATACATAGATACACAATTCTTCTAAATGACTGACAGAGGTTGCTACTCTCGAATAGAGCTCTCGGCGAACTTGCCCAACAAAACGATCGCTACTCTTCTCGCACGGGCCCCGCGAATGGCTGATGTTCGTTGAAAAGAAAATGGCGGCCCCGTGTTGTTGCTGCTCGGAAACGAACCTGTCAGGAAATGGCTGCTCAAAATTGATGGCGAGACCCATCGGAAAAAGGAAAAAGGTCGCTGCCCTTCACGCTGAAGGGATCGACGAGGGCTGATGCTGTAAGAAGGTCGCCGGCTACTCTCTACTTCGCCGACAAGGGTTGTGAACAGAAACCGACGGGAGGTCATTGATCGAGGAGGTCGCTGATGTTCGAGGGTCGAGGGGCCAAGATGGAGGAGGTGAAGGTGGTGAGGATTCGGGCCGAGTGAATGGGCCCGATCTCCATGGCTTCTCGGCGCTGGCGATGGGTCACTCACAGCTATGCGAGGAATCTGAAACTCTAACCTGCTGCTACTAATGGCGGAGAAGTCGGCGACTATGCTGCAAGAATTAATCTCGAGCAGATACTGCAAATCACGAAAAGGAAAAAGAAATTGCCGCTTCTGCTCATGGAAATCACCAACAGAGAAAGATCGATGGCTCTCGATTTGATGAGAGACCTAGATTATTCAGCGATTTTGGGATTTTGGGCGATTTAAAGGGACAACGAAAACTCTCAGATTTGCAGCGTGAGGAAGAAAAAAAAAAGAAGAAAGAGATGAGGGAAAGAGATTAAAGAACGAAAAAAATAAAGAGATAAGGGAGAAAGAGATTAACGAGAAGAGGGTGAGAGAGAGAAAGGGATAATTCCTACAATTATGCTAAAAAGATAACTTCTATTATTTTATAAAAAAACGTAATATTGAATGTAAGTTAAAGAGTTCGTACTTTTAATAATATGTAGTAGAGGATGAGTAAGGGGGGTAATTTTCTCATTACTCGTTAACCCATACATGTATACCTTCCAAAATTTGGGGTCTTCTCACAAGCCCTAGCCGATTGAAGATCCCAATTGAAAATCCCACCCTTCTCATCGCCACAACCCACTTGCAAGACCTCCATGGCGCTGCTGGCGAGCCGTCGTCGATGAGCATCATCTCTCCTCTGACCGCCTCCAATGAAAGCAGTTGTGGAAGGCAATCTTCAAGAGGTTGGATTCGTTGAAAGGTGTGGCCGAGCAGCCGCCGGAGGAGGGCAGGAGCTTGGCGGTGGAGGTTCGGTCGGTGATGGTGGGGGTGGTTTGTTTGCTGATGAGCCAGATTGCGCTGTCAGAGAAGGGAGGTTCGGGGAGGAAGAATCTGATTTTCAGGCTGAGGAAGACGAGGGTGGATAGCTTGCGATATGGGATAAGTGTGAGGCGACTGGCAAAAGGCTGGAGGAGGTGGAGGTTGTGGTGGAGGAGATGAGAGGATTTTTTGCTTGAGACTGGTTGGAACAAGGTTGTAGGTTGTGGTGGAGAAGAGTTGAAGTCTTCATCAGGGACAAGGTGTTGTCCAAAATATTTTTGGTTAAAACAAGGCTTTAACTTGGATGTTTTTGTCCTAGCAGCAGATATCTTTTCTTTAGCAGATTTGTTTGTTGGTGTTTTTTTTCTTGCCTTGTAGTTACGCGTGTTTTTGCTTGTAGTTTGCTTCTTTTTAGTGTGGGTTTGGTTTGTTGTTTACAGGCCGAGGTGGCCTCTTAGGGGTACTCTTTTGAGTGGTCTCCTTATTGTTCCTTAGTCTAGACTAATTTGCGACTCGGTTTAGTGCAACTTGTTGGTTGTTCGCTTTATACATCAGATGGCCTCCTTTTCAATTTATGTTTGTATTACAAATTTACACTAGAGCCATTGTTATTATCGATGAAGAAAAAAAACACATATTCTAACACTAAAACTCAACACACCAAACGCTCCATACGATCTCTCGTCTCTCTACCTGTTTTCCCAAATTAGTGAATAGTAAACCCTAGTTTTAATTCATCGTTGGCCTCCTCCTTGGTGGGGCTCTCCGCGCCGCCGAGCGGTTGCCGCCATGTGGCGTGTGCGTCCTTGTTCCCATTGAGCGGTGGGCTCTCTATCGGGTGAAGTCTCGTCAGGCAGCGTCTTTGTCTCTAGGCGGGATCTTCATGCTCGTGGTGGATCCAGACTTCGACGGTGTGGTCGGTCATCTAGTTTTGATTTCTGCCTAGAGAATGTCGGAGCTAAGGTTAGTCCCTCTTTCTCCTCTGTGCTCTTGCTCCCCTGGGGTAGGGTGGTTAGAGGATGTCGGTGGTGGGGTGTAGTATCTCTGTTGGTTGATCGTCCTGGACTGCTGGTGGTTGGCGGGGTGTTTGAAGCTTGAGGCTAGACCGATGTTATGTCCCCACCTGCTTTCCCGGTGTTGGGCTTTGGGATGCCCCGGTGGTGTTGGGTCATTAGCTCAGGTGGTCGCCGGCTGGTGAGAGATAGTTAAGTTAGGTCTAGTCTCAGGCTTGCTGAAGTGAGGATTGGCTACCTTGGAGAGTCGATTGGGATTTGAGTTTTGAATCTTGTTAGACCTTCAGCAGTTTCGGCTTCGGTGGTTTGTCCCTGTTTTATGTCCGTGCAAGTGATCTCTCTCTGC